AAGGTGAACTAGATATGGTCCCATTATGTGATGACTACCTGCAAAGAAAGAACTAGTCACTTCAACGAGTTATGAGGAAAAACAATATCAGTAACATTAATGCCCCCAAAACACTGTTGATTCAAACCTGACAATGATCATCTGTCAATGGTTGTTCAGAGCGAATTATCTGATGAAGATCAGTGTCCATCAATTCATAAACAATATAAACATCATTAAAGGTCTCCTTTTTTGGTGGTTGAATGATGTCCTTCATGGCAATAACCTGCAAGAAGAGGTGTGAGTAGTGGTCCAGGCATAATAAATGGACTGCAGAGTATTAGAACAAGAAACTTTAACTGATAAGTAGGTGCAGATCAGTTCAGTCAATGTAAAGAGTATATATAGTTCCAATTGAACACCCCACACTTTACATGTTTATGAAGAGAATTTTGCAAAAAATACTAAATAAATATATGGTAAAATCATGCTAGCTCGATTGTAACTCTTAATATAATCCCTTTGATATCAGGAAAAAAGATCCAGATACAAGCACTGTAATTCATTAACACATCAATGCAAAAGCTACTAATAAACAGCTGTTCATCCTGCAGTAGCTAGCTACCTGATTAGTTGCTAAGAATTATCAATAAAATGCAATTGGTGTTCCTGAGTAGTAAAATATAAAAAAACATGACAACAAACAAATGCACAAAGAATGCAAGAAAGGTAAAAGAAATGCAACTGGTTAGTCAGAAACTTATTTAGTACTTCTGAGCCCTGCAAAGAGGAAAATGGGAGCAAAACTGCAGAAGAGTTAGCCCCATTCTTAATTGCCCACACTCCAAGGAAATGTTAAGAAAGGACTTGGGAAATTTATGCAGTAGCATAATCTCTGAGAACCAAAACTAAGGTTGCAACTTCTAGACATTGAAAAGGGACCATGCTTACATTTTCATGGTCCATGTGACGAAGAAGCTTAATTTCTCTCAATGTCCTCTTTGCATCTATCCTGTTATCAAATGCATTACCAATCTTCTTAATGGCAACCTCCTCACGCGTCTCTGAGTTAACAGCAGCACTGAAAAAGAAAAAATAAGTCATGTAATTCACTGCCATATTGCCCAATGGTATTTGGAAATACAAGAAAGCTTTGCAAAGATTTTTTACAGGCATTAGCAGAGCATCTATTTCATTTTTTTTCCGACAACACGGTAGAACATGCTTTGAAGAATCCCAAAACCTATCAGTTGGAAGTCTAGCACTTAAGCCACATTCACAAAAAAAGTTACAAATTACAAATAATAGACACTTAACAATAGTGGTGGTGAACACATAAATCAATTATGCTATATGGTCTAATATGTTACCCATTTATTCATAACATCAAACTGATTCAATCATGCGATAAACTAATATTAAAATAAATAAACAAACAAAAAAGGAAGCCCCCAAACCATAGTGAACAATATTAGCCAGAAAATTCAGCAACTTCATCAAGGACAATATCTAAGTTTGCCAGAT